GGTGGTAAAACACGCTTTCATCCGATGGCTCACAAGCGAAGCTGTGTGAGAACACTGTTCAAAAGAATTCAGACTCACTGCAGTAACCCGAAAGAAAACAAAACCTTGAGGCCGCACATCTTCGCGAGCTGTTTATGCAAAATGATTATCTTAACGGCTTCATAAGCCCATGTCTGCGTGCCCACACTCTGAAGACCTAAACATAATCAACCCCCATGATTTGGCATGCACTGCATTGTATGAAGGACGAGTCAGATGAGACCGAGCACATTGCCGCGGGAATGGGCCTTGCAATAGCACATCGGCAAGAGCCTGAAAGCTCAGATGAATAAAGTTACGATTCCAGTGAACGCTACGACTTCTTCTTGACAAATACCTGGGAAGGGAACGATTGCCCCTGTTCGTGAGAACTGTGTGCGCGATGCGCTTTGGACAGCTCGTAGTTGGAAGATATTTGCCCCACGAGAGGCAGCAACGTACGAGCAACTATGTTTTTTTTCACCGGTGCCTGAAAGACGAACTGACTCCTTGATGCCTGAGATATAAGTCCCCGGTTAACACGACCGTGGGCAGAGAACTGGCTAAGAGGTTTACCACACAAATGATGAGAGCTCTTATCGATGACTGCCACCAACGTCTACATAAATACCAGGCTGTGATCGAACAAAACAGAAGAGAGTGCGCACGAGTATTCGGAGATTTCATCACCGAGGACATCGCTCAGACAATCGCTGCCCCGGCGCGTCGCACACAAGCTAAGAAGCGAGTGACTTTGGAGCAGAAACTTAGGAAATTACAGCCACCCGACACGGGAAGCTCCAACTTTGTACATAACCTATCCTCCAAGCAAATAACGGATGAGCAACTACGAGTACTCCAGCATATAGCTTGTTTTAACACTACCGATGCCGACCTGGTCGATTTCTCGCAGCTCTAGAGGCCATGCATGTGCGGACTGCAAAAACAGACGACGAGAAACATTCGGTTCGACAATGGCTCACCTCTTTACTGATGAAACACCGCCCAGCCCACTGCATGTCGAAGAGTCAGTTGAAAGCCATGAAAGAATTAAGAACGGACAATCATATTATTGTTCTGCCCGCGGATAAGGGACGGTCAACGGTCGTCATGAATCGAGAAGACCACAATGAGAAATCCAAAGCGCTGCTTGATGATGGAGAACTCTACATACCAGTGCAAAGGTCAGAAGCAAAAACAGTATCAAATCGGTCGAATAAAGTACTTGAGGAATTCGAGCGTCGTAATGTGATCACTGAGAACGAACGGCGCTTGATGAAAGCAACAGATACTGCCCTCGCCCGCTTCTATGGTCTGCCAAAGATCCATAAACCAAATGTCTCATTGCGGCCAATTGTTGCCCTTAAAGGCAGCCCCACCTATTATTTGGCTAAATGTATGTACTCGAAGCTGAAATTCCTCCAAGACAACTCTGATTTCTCGGTCCGCTCAGCTTCCAAATTTCTGGCTGACTCCATGGAAAAGGGATTCAGTCAGACGAAATCATGGTCTCCTTTGACGTGACATCATTATTCACATCCATTCCACCCACTTTGGCGCGAGACGTCTTGCGCAGGAAGCTCGAGGAACTGTATGACGAAACACAGAGTTCGCTCAAAATTGAACACCTCGCTTTGCTTTTCGAATTTTGCCAAAAAGACATATTTCAATTTTGCATTAGCGACTTATGAACAGATCAAGGGAACTCCGATGGGCTCCCAAATCTCCGGTTTAATAGCGGAATTAGTCCTACAAGAACTGGATAAGATTGCCTTCACCCAACAGCCCCCCATCTTTTGGCGCCGTTACGTTGACGACGCCTTTCTTATCGTCAAGAGGAACATCCTGCAGAATTTGCAAGATCTTATCAACTCGATATTCCCAGATATACAATTCATGAGAGAAGAAGAAAAGGATCGACAGCTACCCTTTGTTCAGTTCAGTTAAGTTTTATTAGGGAAATATAGGTGAATACCTTTGGACTCCCTCTTTGTACATAGCTATCACGCAGAACATGTGGCGTTGCCAGTAACGGCACTGCGGTAGGGGGGCAGACAGTAAAAAAACTCCTTAGGCATCATTCATAAG